GGTCAGAGTTTTCTGTGGTTCCGAGAGCTTCCTAACCCCAAAGCTAGCTGCAAACCCAGAATCAGCAAGGACCTACGCAGACCTCTCTTCCCCCAGACACTCTCCCAACAATTCCATAAACATTAAATTCCCTGAAGTAAAATCTCTTCTCTGTTTAAAACCACCCATGAAGGTTTGTTTTCCCAAACAGCCTTTTCTGATACAAACAAAAAATATGATGCCAGACCCTGCAAACACCATTCAGTCAACAATCCTGAAGCAATATTCCAACAAGCTGATGATGCTGAGATGAAAAGATAACAGGTTCTTGATGACATTATTGAACCATTATGGTAGTTCTAGACTATATTACATTTTCATTGCTTTTTATCTGAAGGAAAATAAAATATATTGGTGTCAGCCATAGTAGTTTAGCTTTCTCTTATGTTTAGCCAAAACATCCCTAGTGCTTACACTCAATTTCTCATCTGTAAAATGGATCTAGAGTGCAAGTTAGAATGTACTTGGCATGTAGTGGCCACTTAAATGTTCACAATTAATATTGAATTAGTTTCCTAGTCTTCAAGTTAAATGTAATCTATATTCCTTCCTCTAAAATAAAATTCTCAAGGAGGAGAATTCATATAAATAGAATATGCTTTTCTACATTCAAGACTGGCTATTTAGTTAAGTTAGTGAATGCCAAGTGATATAATATTTGGATGACTCCTCTCTCTTGAATTGACAAATAGAATTAATGAGCATTACCTAGAAGTCCATCTGGGAAGTATGCACCATAACCTAGGAAGATGGAAGAGACTGGGCTTGAGAGAGCCCTCTGCAATGTAAAGAAAACAAATGTTAATGTTATGGGTATAAATTTCTTTCCTAATGGAATGTTCTATAAATATTTCTCATTTTATAATAACTTTAAAAAAATGGTGTGGCCATTTATAAATGCTCTCCTGGAGGCATAGGGAAAAAAGAGAAAATGATGATTACATCTTATCACCACAGGGTAACCAGGCAGTTATTATATTCCTCAGTGTTTTATGAATCCAACACTCTAATCAACATTTCTTTTGGGGGACTGTCTATTTTCTTTCAGTGGTTTTACATATTTAATGTCTTTAATATGAAAAGGTATTTGGCTTTTTCTAGCTTTTCTCATTGTGTTCATAAAACAAGATCATCAGTATCAGCAGAACAAACAAAAGATAAATATTATGATAAAACATAAGTTTTATGAAAAATGAAAGAACATTTTCAAAGGTACAATACTAATGAAAAACATAAAATCATTGTGTGTTTTTTCCAGAGTGATTTCTATGCTCACACAGAATCTTTCCAAGTTGGTTTCGCTCTCATGATACTTTAACATACAAAGATGTATTAATATTTTGTCTCTGGACTCTTTAAGTTACTTTGGTTTTCAAATCAAGCTTTACCTTATTTAAGGTATATGAAAATAAGATTGTTTTGTTAAGTGTCAGTGCTAAGATGTCATAATTAACTCTGCATTGCTGTTGTAATCTGCAATTTCTTCACAATTGTTGGCTTTTAACATATGACTTAAATATCTCCTAATAGCAATATAAAATGCATTGGTAAGTGGCTCTCTTTTTTATTCTTACCATCATGAACAACATTCTGGTCTCGGTGGACTGACACCATATTGACAAACCGCTGCAAAATTGCTCATCCACTGAACCTGGGAGATAAAGCAGCTGAGTGACAGGTGGGACTTTAATCAGTTCGTAGGTAAAAATCAAGATTGGATTTTGATGAGGGGATTTCTTGGTCCCTGGTGGATTCAATCTCCCTTTCAATATACTGAAAAGCCATTTTTTTTGGCCATGTTTGATTTTCATTATTCCCCATCCCTGTCAATGTTTTCTGCAAGGGGATGTCTCTTCATTGGTTTTCCCTAGCTCTACACCTAACTGAATGGTCAGAGAGGAAATTAAGAGTTAAAAATGTGTGTGTGTGTGTGTGTGTGTGTGTGTGTGTGTGTGTGAATTAAATGCCTAGGCCCCTGTGAAATTTTATTTTGAAAAATAAAATAAAAACTGTTAGTTTTGCCAGTGGTTCTTTGCAAAAAGAAAGAGAAAAAGGAAAAGAAATGGTTGTACCCAGACATTTCCAATCAATTCAGATATACCTCCTCTTCAGTGCAATGCTTGCCTGATCACCAGGAGAGATGATCACTTGAACATTCAATTTAACTTTCTTATATTGCTGAAATTTCTGCAGCAATAACATTTCCTTTGTTTTCTAAATAAGTTCTCCAAGTCACTGGGGGAGAATTTCCTGAATAATATAACAAATTCTTTCTCTGTTTCTTTAAGGGGTTCTGATGGGCTAAGGGTTTTTGTTTGTTTGTTTGTTTTGTAGAAAACAAATCCATACAAAATCATGATGCCCCACTCTTTCTCCTTTTCATGTTTCTTCAGTAGGAACCTGAAAGGCATTCAATGTGTTGCTGTGTGTAATGGGGCAAAAATTCATATGTTCAAGTTCTAACCCCTCAATATGTCAGATTGTGGCTGTATTTGGAGATGGAGCCTTTAAAGAGATAATTGTGGTAAAATGTGGGCCTATATAGCTGGACCATCATCCAATACAGCTGATGTGTTTTTAAGAATAGGTTAGGACACAAACACAGAGGGAAGACCATGTAAAGACATAGGAAGAATATGGTCATCTATAAGCCAAGACCGAAGGCCTCAGGAGAAAGCAGCCCTGATACATTTTTTGTCTTGGACTATGGAGAAAATAATTTATGTTATTTAAGCCACAGTGACTGTGGTACTTCGTTATGGCAGCCCCAGAAAACCAACACACCCTGGGCAGCTATGGGTTCAGAGCTTCATGGGTGATGGAAACACTACAGTGATGGGCAAGTCAGAGAAGATACATATTATGCTGCCTCTACAGATGTGAGGGCATGAGGCTGTGCACCTCAGGGCATTCAAGGAAGTGGGAGAAATTGAAGAGCATCTTGACATTGTTGACACAGATCCAGAAGTTTATGCTGCCAAGAATTTATCCACCTTTATTCATGAGGTTAATTTACTTTTAAAAAGAAAACTAATAATCAGTTTTTAATTAGCTAATACTAGAATGCTTATGAGAAAAACAGCCATCCATTGCCCAACCCTAGTCTTCTCCCCTGCCCCATACCAATCACTTTCAGCTCTTCTACCTGGGTTCTCTTACTATTAACTTCATATTTTAAATAACATGTTTATATTCTTATTTTATTCATTCAATAAATATTTAATGAGGTGTAGTTCTAGTTAGAGGTACCCAGCAGTGAACAAGATATTAAAATTTCACTGCCCCAATAGAACTGATATCTTGTTGGGGAAAGAATCAATGAACAAAATATATATTAAATTGTAGAAGATGTGATAATACTGAGGTGAAAAGCAGGTCGGAGGGATAGGACGCACTGAAATGAGGGATGAAATTTTCAATACAAAAATGATCAAAATAAGAATGTATTGCTTGAATTTTAAAATACACACACAAAAATTGGTGGTAGGCAAAAGAGTGACCCATAAAGATAAATGTGGGTGGAAATTGCAGGTCTAGAAAACACAAAATGTAAAGTCCCTTAGGTAGGAGAGCTATGACATATTATAGAAACAAGCATAGAGAGGAAACAGAGTGCCATGTGGCTGGAGAGGACAGGGTTGTGCATGAGGACAAATGGTGTAGGGCTGTGTGTGCACACAGGTGCTTGATCCTGCTCAACTATGCCAACTGTTGGAGCACAGGTCTCCTACCAAGAACTGGACCTTCATGGACACTGAGTATTAGGTGAAGAAGACATAAGATGCCTTAGGCACATACATGAGAGACCTTATTATAGAATGAGTAGCCATTGCTACTACAGGAGCCATAGACAAAGTAGTTCTTCAAAGTAGCCCCACCGAAGCAGCTGCACAAAGCAGCCCAGCCCAATTGGCTGGTCAGTGGCAACTTATATACATGCTCAAACAATAGAGGCCTTGTGCCATTTTGCGATGCTTGTGCTACATTAACATAAACAGATTACATCCTTGTCTTAATGCATGCATATGGGAAATTGGCCTTGATCTTCCAGTGAACTCTGATTAGAGTTCCCACAGGCCATGTGCCCATCAAGGCATCAGTTCTCACACTGAGAGATGGGAGCCTTTGGAGGTTAATGAACGATGAAATAACAAGATATGAGGTCAGGCTTAGATTTCTGAGAAGCCACTGGCTGCTGGAATGAGAACAAATGGAAAAAGGCTGTGCTGGTAGAAAATGGTAAGATGCTACTGTAGAAATATAGCCTCCAGGGTATGAAATGGTGAAACTTGGGGCATATTTTGAAGGTAGAGTTGGTAAGATTAGCTGACATATTAGATGTAGTGTGCTTTAGAGAGAGGGGAGTCAGAGATTTGTGCTTTAGATAACTGGAACAATGGGATTTCCACTAACAAAATGGGGTGAGATTTTAGAAAAAGCAAATTTAAGAGAGAAGAGCCAAAGTTCAGTTCACACATGTTGGTTGCCTTGGATAGTCATTGTTATTGGATAGTCATCATGACATAATTATCAACAGCTTCGTTTCACTCCAAAGGTACCCCTGTTTGGTGATACATGGTCACATTGCAGTTGGACATCTGAGAGGGAATCTCAAGGAGGCAGGAGATTGTGGGATTTAGGGGCAGTCTGTGCTGTGTAAAGACCTTCAGATCCTTCAACATCTATCATGTGCCCATCAAAATAGGCTTAGAATACGTACATATTTAAACATCTCTCTTCTATCTTCCATTAGAGATTTCACTTGCAGGGTACCCCATTTTTTTAATGCACTAAACAAATACAATGAGCATGTTTAGTTCTCAGGTTCTATTCTAGGTAGGTTATAAATGTTAACTCACTTTATCATCTCCACTTTATAGAGGAGAAAACTTGCTGTAGAAATTTACATTAAAAAAGTACATTTCTGTGAATTTCAAATATATTTTTCCACTTCCTTTCAGATCCCAGATTCCAGTGTTGCCTCAGAAGTCATTTTCATCATTACTATTTGGTATGCAATCTGTTTTTTCCTTCTTCTTTAATGTCCTGTTCCTTGTTTTCTAAAATTTTATGAGATGGTCCTTGGTGCCAGGCATTTTAGACATTGTGCTGTGTCTCCACTATTTGAAAACTCATGTCATTCAGTTCTGGGAAGTATTGAATTACTTCTTTGAAAATTGCTTTCTCAGAATTTGTTCTTTTTTTCTTTTTTCTTTCTTTCTCTGGAACACCTATTATTGGATTTCTTAAGTTGATATAATTTTATCATTTTTATTTTATGTTCTATCCTTTGCTCTAATTTTTGGAATAATTCTTAACTTCTAACTCTTTTATGAACCATTTTCCTCTGGCCATTTTTAACTTTTAAGAACTGTTACTTCTTTTCTGATTAGCCTCTTTTCTTAGCAATTTGTTTATGTTTATCTCTCTGGTGATATTCATTTATTTTGGCAATTTTCCTCAGCTTCCCTAATCATTTTGGCTTCTTTGAGAAGTGCCCTGTGCTTTGTTGTATATATAGGTCTATTTGATGTAATCTCTGTATGTCAGGTCAGAGGCTTGTCACAGTGTCAGGTGATCTCTGGTTTTCTGTTCATTTTGAAGTATGAGGTTAAATGAGCATGGAGAACTCTCTGTGCCTGCATGAAGCTTGTCCACCTTTGCAGGGTCACCAGGCATAAAGATACAGCCCCTAATCCACACTTTCCAGTTCTTGGAGATGTTTGTCCAGGGGTGCTTCCAGTTCTACAGAGAAAAATGCTGCCCTAGGAACACTGGCTGGCTTCACACCATAAGCACAGAATTTCATTTTTGTCTTCTGTTTGGCCAGTATCCTACCCTTCACTCCCTCCCACCTCCTTGTGCTTGGTGCACCTGAATCCCCAGTTTTTTTCCTGCAATAATTAGATTGCTCGGTTCTGATGGGGACCTGGCTTTGTAGAACAAAAGAGCATCCCTAATGTCCAAACTCAACTGTAGATCTTCACCTGTTCTCTGCGTTGTGAGCCCCTGGCTGAAACCGCACCTCTTGAGCAGGCTGAATGGGTCTGCTTTTCTTCAGTGTTCTCTTTCCCAAGCAATATTTACCTCTGCCATACCTGCTTTTGTTCTTCCAAACTTTTACTGCAGCCTCTCATTCACTGTTGTCATCTGTACTACTCTCTTTGTCTTTTTGTATTTGATTGCTATTGTTGTTTTTTAAATTGATTTATGTCAGATTTTTTTTTTTAAGTTTCGGGAGGGCCAGGAATAAATGCATGTTAGCTATGAAGCTTCTTGATCTTTGATCTAAAACCTCTCTACCTTAAAAAAGAAAGAGAGGAGAAATCTTATTTTGTCTACATCTTTGAGTCAGACAACTGCATTTTGAGTTAGAATTAAATTTATGCCGGTGCGTCTTACAGTTTCAATCCTTCCCTGGAGAAGAAAACACATATATAAGCCAAGTCAATAGCTTTAGAGTTGGTTTTGAAATGCATTGAATGGAAAAAGAAATTACTAATTTAATTTTTTGTCTTGAAAGCATTCAATAATTTATGAACCTGGGTCAGATATTTTAGAAGCTAGTTTCCCTGAATGTTAGGAGGTTGGCCTTTCTAAGCCTTGTCAGCAGTGCTTTGCTCTGATTCTAACTTCCTAGGTGACAGTGGAATAGGATGAGAACAGTTTACTATGATCAGATCCAGATCTCCCACTGGAAGTAGAATTAAGTCCCATGATGCACCTTTGCACTCAGATGATGGGACAGTGCCTCTCCTGAGAGGTAGCAAGGTCAGATCAGAATGTAAGGGCCATGAAGGTGACAGTGGGTAAACAGTCTGCCTGGGTCTGACCTCTGGCTCCTCCACTTCCAATCTGTCTACACTTGGGCAGAAAATGTAACCCCTGGGCATTGATGACCTCTTCGACAAAATGGATATAATCATCATGACTACCTCATGGGGTTGTGTAATGATAAAATTAATTAAAACATGCAAAACATTTATAAGAGTGCTTGGCTTATAATAAGGACTCAGTACATGTTATCTGATATTTATACTTTATGCCATTTCATTATTTGTTTCTTGTTATAATTTTATTGATCATTGACTATATGGATTTTTTTTGATAATCAGCTCTAATTCTTCCCTCTGGTACAATAACACTGATGAATTCTTTATTTATCCTTTAGCTCATAAACAGATTATATATAGTATATAAAATACTACATATAACACATATGTATATATAAATCTTTATATATGCTTATATATATTTGGATATATACATGCAAAACAAAAGCTAACATTTAACCAGTTGACTTATTTCTAAACTACAAGTTAAAAAAAATAGATTTCCTAAGCTATTTATTCATTTTCCCCCTTAGAATAGCCCTAAATGTTTCTTGAAAGAATTCAAGCTTATATGCACAAAACACTTTTTTCATGATTTGCACATGTATATTGACTTGCATACTTGAAAAATAAAATGGTTTTCGTGTGTGTGTGTGTGTGTGTGTGTGTGTGTATGATTTTTTTCTTTTTACATAAATGGTATGTATGTTGTTCTAGAAGTTGTGTTTTTACTCAACAATTTTTTTTTAATTTCCCATGTTCATTCATGTTAACTTAATTTATTGCTTTTAACTTCTGAACACCATTCCAGCCAATAGAAAAGCCACATTTTATGTATTGGCAAGTATTCTAGGTCCTACAGTTGTCTCTCAACTTGAGAAGCTTGCAGAAGGATGTCTGAGTCACACACTGAGAGCAGCCACTCCCTGAAACTCAGATTTTTGTCCCAGTCTTACAAAGGGTTCAGCATTCTGGAGAAAGGGGCTGTGTGTAGATCATTAAAGAGTCCAGAGACAAAAGATAATTTTGAAAGGTATTGAGGATCAGAAAGATCTTCAGCTGAAGGAGCTGAAGACTCTTCTTGTCGTAGGCTCCCATGCTATTTATTTAACACAATTTGTCCTAAGACAAGTTGGAGATAATACAATTCAAAGGGTAGGGCTTCAAAGGGTACAGAGTTGTTCAGGTGTTTGGCCAACAGGAGGCAATAAAATTCCTGAGCTGTCTGGCAGCAAATAATTATTCTATTCAGGTTTGGGGGAAGGGCTGTTTAGCCATTTTCAACAGGTAAACTACATATGTGGCTCACCCTTGTTGAGCTACCCAAGCTTCACCAACCTTTTGGTGAAACTTGTAATTATTACATGCTGGAATTGGTTCTCGGCAGTTTCCAACATTTCAGCAATTCAGTTCAGTTTTCTGTTCTCTGCTGTGTCTCCTTCCTTGTCAGAAAAGAGGCACCTGGACAAGTGCCCTCAGACTGCTATGTCATGTGTGTTCATTGATGGAATTAGCAGGCAGTCCAAGCGTAGGTCCTGTGCATCTGTTGAGGGTCCCATTACTAAAACTGTTTCATGGTCATGCAGTACTAAGAGGAAGTGGGGTACATTGCTCCATTCAGGCCCTCCAGTTGCTCACTTTCTCCATCCCTGTTGTTGAACTAGTGTGAAATCAGACACCAAGAAATTGTTCAGGGCATGTTTTGAGCAAGTTAATGCAACCATAAAATACAAATAACTGTCATGTGAATTGCTAGAATGGTTGTGAGCAATAGCTAATTAAATAGATTGTGAAGCAATTTTATTTGCAAAGTGCTCTATGGAGGAGATGAAGGCTCTGAGATTAGCATCAGGTCTCCTTCTCAGGAAAACAGACTTCATCTTGCAATTCATGATGCTATAAAATTTCTAATTTGAGGATTTGTGAAAAGATGCACAATCTGTTGCTTCATGCAGTCCAGAGCTGGGTACGATGGGGCCCATCTGCCATCTGCTTATTGGGAAATGACTTGAGTATGCCTTCTCTTTAGTATTTTTAATTTTAGGTATAGGTGTTTAGAAAAGACCGTTTCTAAAATGAATCTTATTAAGACATGATATGTAAACATATCAAGCTAAGCTGTATGGTTGGGCAATGCTGAACAATAATCCCATCCAGGGATCTCTGCAGAAAGTTCCAAGGGCACAGATATTTAAGACAGAGCCCCGAGGGCTGCCTTCCATAGGACCAAAGGAGGGAGGGAGCTCTTGGTTCTATGGGCTGTTGATGGATAAAGTTCTTTGGGTTTCTCTGACCCATCGCAGACTTTGGCTTTGTACAGTCTTATCCACCATGAAAAAAATTTTGTGCAAAGCAGTTTGAATCCTCCCAGGAAACATCCAGGGACTATGAAAGGAGGTTGGGGGGGGGGGGAAATAAAAAAAGGTTAACTCTCTGGGGCAATATATTTCTTTCTGGTAGCTTGGGAATATGTCAAGCAGCTGAATTTCATCTTTCTGGTTTTGTTGTTATTGTATGAAAAATGCGAGAGAAACCTATAAGGCAATGAAACCTATAAGGCAATTTCACCTGAAACTTATCATTGTATTTTTATTTATTTCTATATATTAAACCAGCCTGGTATTAAGAAGGGAAGACACATTTAAAAAATGCATTTTTATAATTAGCACTGAGAGTTTTAACAGTGGTGGTAAGCCTGTATGTTGAAATGGAGTTTTATGTGTTTAATTAACAAATGTTTTTTGTTTGCCTCCTTTGCGTCAGGCTCTCTGTATCGAATACAGGATTAGGGAAAACAAACATGAGCTTTGCCTTTCTGGAACATTCAGTCTCTTGGGGGGCTCAAAATAAATAATCATGCTAATGCATATGTGATTTTATATCCTGGAAATGCTATTGGTTGCTATGTGATAGACCACTCTAAGGAGTGACCTAGCCTGTGGATTTAGGGAGCACAGCCCCCTTAGGACATGCCTTTTGTTCTGAGATGTGAAGAGTGGACTAGCATTTAAGGCAAGCCTGTCGATGGGAAGAGCTTTACTTAAAGGGATAGCACCTTTCATGGCCTCATGGAGTAAGCCTCCTCCCTTGGGTCACTGACAGCCCCTGTCACCTGAGGGCAAAAAGAAAGGGCAGTTGAGGAGAGGGAGGCCAAGGATGTAAGGAGGCAGAGCAGGTA